CGCATGTAGAATGTTTACATGTCAAGCTTATGACAGTAATTTTAAACAAAAGAGCTCGTTATCACATACAAAAACATTTAGGGGCGGGCAAGAACATTCCCAAAATTATCATATGCAGCTTCACTAGCCATGTATACTCCACAAACATAAAAACAGCAAGTCGATTCTGGAGTTTAGTAGGAAAACGGTAGGAGGAGCAAGTCACCGCCACGTAGTATCCACCCACAACCACGCCGCGTTGCGGTCGGATAGGCAGTCAGCGTCCGCGTGACGCAGCTCGAGCGGAGCGAATGCGAAACAAATGAGAGAGGTATGAGGGCGGGAACAATCAACCATTTTATCTTCAACTCCATCTGTCATTCACCTAACCTCGTTCCGCGTAACTTCCTCTCCAATAGTAATTGCACACCGCCACATGTAACTAAATAGCAAAAACCCACATTTCGATTACGTTCTCTCCACACGGCTAATTGAAAAAATACTGTTCGATGAACATTACCACAGATAGCAATCGGAACATTACATTTCATCACAAACTTTGGTATTACTTGACGTACAAACAGTTTCTACTAGGTGGAATCATAACACAATCGTTTAAAAAATTTCAAATGCTCAAACAATAAGATAAACAAAACGCGCTCCATAACATTAAAAAAACGGATGTCTAGGGTCATATTCAGGTTCAGTTGATAAATTGTTTGAATTTAATTTTCAAACGTTTATGAAACAAACATCTGTGACTCTTATCGAAACAATGACGTGCATCTACACACGGATCAAGAAAATAATATCATTATTTTCACATCTGTATAATTATTTCAACACAATTATTATCACAATTATCTCATTCAAGAAAAACACGCCTACGGTAAAGTAACCTACAAATCAAAGTTTACCTGGCCTGTAGATTCAATAAATTTGTCCACTGCCTGTACACTCCAATAACCACCGAAGATAGTTGCTGCAGTTCAAAGGTAAGTTGCTCTCATTTTTTAACTGAAAACAGTCAATGACTTGATACTTGAAAAAACTCACAAACCAAAACAAACCTTCAGTACAGCTGATGCTAGTTCTAATCTTCGCCGCCTCGGCACCTTCAGCGCAGTTGTCGTCACTCCATTGCTGCCAACAACTTCTAAATATGAATTTGTCGAGATGTAAAGAATATCGCTTTCAAATTTTAGAATTAATCTAACATGTGCTTATGGGATTAAGAATAAGATAATACATTCGAAAGTTATCATGAGTGGCATTAAAATAAGGGGTAAATTTCCAAACAGATTTATTATTCTCAATGTGAATGATTTCATGCCATCTTGCGGTGAACGAGGCAACTACTTAGAAATTACATGTGGCGGTTGTTCGATTTTGTCCAACCTTCTCATTTAACGTCAAAGAAAATAATAAAGAGACCATGACAATGGCAATGACGAAATTTATTTTCTTTTCGCATTCTAATTACAAGATCCTTTCTTATAATGAAGGAAGGAATTACAATGCAATTTTTATATGCCATCTCGTGCGACGAAACTCCAATTGTTTGTTAAATAATCGTTTTATTTTATATTTCATTTTATTTATACAATTTTTGTATTAGGGTGGTGTTAAAATACCATCTGTGTAGCTTTAGTTTACACAAGATTTCTGTTGGATTTGCCAACGTACATAGAGTATGGTTGCGTAAGAGGCTAAATGGCAAAACATTTCAAGTTTGGAAAGGCTGAAGGAGGCTACGGGAATTAAAAATAGAAAAATAGGAAACCGTATATTTCAACTGTCTTCAGAGTAAGAATATTTCCAACCCGTCAGCCTGTTTCCAATCTCACTGTCTTGTAAATACAACCACATTCTTTCAAGTAATTAAATTTTATTATAAAAAATATGTAGTCAAACTCAGATGAAGAAGCTCTACTAATTTCATCAAGAAATAAAAAGAAAATATTGTTCTGTGCTTTACAATAAAAAGAAACAGCGGGCAATTTGACATAATTACAATCATTTGATAAATATCTTTACAAGTGACTTTTTCACAAGTCTGAGTGAACATACTTGTAAGATGGAGCCTTCAGGAAAGTTACCAAGAAGAGAGAGACATGCACGTACACTGACGCACTACAGGGAAAAATATAATTGAAAATCTGAATCCTGATGCTAGTGAAAGATTCAGGAGCTATTCTAACACCAATATCCAAGTAATACATTGTTTTTGTGATTTTCAAGAGTATGTTCTTAGTCCTACCTAAGCTTATAATTTGAGTCATCTCTAGATTTAGCATAATAAAACACTGGGACCAGTAGCCACATCGTAATGGCATATTTCACTCAGTGACAATGCAGACAATGTACGCACAGTTAAATTTATTCCATATAATTGTGTTATCACGAGTTTATGGACAGTGCCCAACAAAATATTAAAAAGGTACATCTGAGGCACTATAGAACATCACAAGCATTGATATACCCAAATACCAAAATATAGAGAACCATAAATCTTACATACATTTAATTAATTGCAAAATGGTTTGCCAACACAAATCTATAGGTGCCACAAAATAGTTTATTTTTAAATTGAGATTATTTCTCAAGAAACAATTTTGTCAATATCAAGCATAACCAAATAGCAATACAAAAATACATGTATATGCATTTTTTAACACGAGCAAATAATTTGCAGTTCACAGATCTCATTTCCTTCTTTCGCTCTTTAAATATATATTTATTCATATATTTATGTATATACTATAATATAGGTACACTTTAATGGTTGTCTATGATACACTTATTAAAGAAATAACACCTTCATTTTGAAGTCTGTTCTTTTACTAATTCTGCAGGGACGATTTTTCCAATAGGAAATATAATTGGCAACAAATTTACCTAAATACATCACATCTGCAAAAACCCGTCCAATGTTTTATATATCATGCTTAAAACTCATAACTCTAATTTGACATGAGAAAGAGCACAGCAATTAGCGTGGTGAAAGCTTGTGGATTACTATTATATATTTTCAACTAAAGAGAGAAATACTCTGTGATACGCACCAATGGCAGATTCCCTCACAGGCACAAGAAACTTGCAATGAAAGGTCTCGATCTTATCAGAGCCTCAAATTTTCATAGTTTTTATTAAACTTAGTCCATACTTCAACAAAATTAAAATGTTTTTTACTTTCAAACAGTACAAGAAAGAAATCATTATTCAAATAAATTGACATTTGTCAAATTTTTATCAAATCTGACAAAAATTCCACATTTCCTCACACAATCAATGATTTATTAAAGATCAAAAAACTGAAAATTATTTGATTGTGAAACTTTGAAAAAATACTGTGCCAATGGGCATAGAAGAATTTAATTTGCCACTTAATGGTACACAAGAGTAAAAATAGCATAAGGACTTGTTGCTTGGAAGACACACAGAATTAGATACAACATATGCATCTCTCACATCATTACATTCATTAGGAAACATCATCTTTTTTTGGCTTTTTTTCATTGTCATTGATAGCAATAAACAAAAAAGTCATTGAGTTATATGTACCTTCCCACGCATTCCAGCACAAATCAATTCTTTCAAAGGAACATTTTGTATAAGATGAGAAATCATTTTCTCTAACAAATGTTCCTATTCCACATCCTGAGATTGTCTTCCCTGATTCTTTGTACTAATTTTGTGACTCTATTGTTTAAACATCACAAAGAGGACATAATATAATACATAATATATTCTAGTAATCTAAACTTTTAAGCTTCAAATCAAAAATTGTACAGTTAAAAAAAATACAACAAAGCATCTAGTGGTCTATTACAATGAACTTCAAGCTTAAGAAAGCACAACGTTAATTGCTTTCATCGTCATTATTATACAGTTGATCTTTTATGTGTCATAGAATTTTGTTACAGTAGAGCAAATTCATGAATGTCTGTGCTAATAATACAAGGTCTCCTTTAACCAATGATGCATTGACTAAGAAGGAAAGGAGTGTACATTTTAGACTCTTGCAAATTGAAGATTTTTCTAATTTTTGTGGTGATTAATTTATAATGCCCATAGAACATTTTACTGACTAATACATTTTCATTTGAACAAAATTAAAAATTATGTGGGCCAGTATTTTATTTTGGGGAGATACTGGCAAATTCATTACCACAAGTGTCACTGAGAAAAGTTTTAAAAGAAAGATTCATCCTTAGCTGCAAGTTACAAAATTACATTTTTTTTAAGAAGCCCTTTTCGGAACAGTCAAAACTGATTCGGAATATAACAATGTAATTATTATAAACTCCCCATGGCAATGATTTCATTAGCTTTATATATTCCTTGTGTGTGTGAGTGAGTGAGTGTTTATTTGTGTGTGTGTGTGTGTGTGTGTGTGTGTGTGTGTGTGTGTGTGTGTGTGTGTGTGTGTGTGTTTGTGGGGGGTTGGTTTCAGTTAGATTCTTCATAAAAATTCTGCATTTTTTTTTTTTTTTTTGGTTCACCACGCTAAGTCACAGTGGTCTTTACAATGATATCTTTCAGTAGTTTTAATTATGCTTCCAAAAAGATATGTCCCGCCACCAGAACGCTTTCTTTTTTGAAAATACGGCGTTCATTCTCCAAAATTAAAATTCTACTCTATTTTTCTCTTTAATTGAAAAATATTGACTTTTTTGAAACAAAAGATCCACGTGTATTGGATTGTGTAAAATACAACAGCATGTATACAATAAATAAGTCGAAGTGTACTGAGGGCAGGCCGGAAAGAAGAGAGAAGAGACAAACATGATGGTCGACAGGAGAAAGAGAGAGTAGAGTCAGAGTCGTACACAGTAAAGGGCAGGGAGAGTGCAGTTATGGCTTCTGCTGCTTGGAGTCGCCGTTGACGTGCTCCTTGGCCGAGGTCTTGTGGGGGGCGGCGGAGGAGGTGGAGACGGGGGGCGTGGAGGCGCTGCTGACGGCGGCGGAGGCGGCGGAGGGCAGGGCGAGGGCGGCGGCGCCCGCCGCGCCGGCCCCACCCGCGCCGCTCGACACCGCCCCCAGCACGGGGCCTGCGGCGGGCGTGGCGGGGGTCGGGTCGTCGTGGAACAGCGGGTTCTTCACCTCCATCTCGCCGGTCTGCGAACACAACACAAGCAATCAGTAAGGAATACAAAGACAAACGAAGCACAATGCAATTCCTAGGAAGAAACCTCGAGTGAACTGTCTTCAGAAAAAGATAATCCCGTTCAAATTACATGAACGAAACATTCTATATGTGATGTTACGCGAGTTGAGATAGTTACTTCCAAAGTTTTATTCTTCCAAGAACGCAAACACATGTAATGTTGAGTTTGCAAGAGTGTATTAGGGAGTATCTTGTCAACATATTCAAAGGGTGTTGTGTACAGTATACATTTTAATATATTTAAAAAAATCAATTTTTTAGAACGAAATCAAGTCCTCAATTTAAATGCAGCGAAGTACTCTCGAAATATTAATTGTTTTTATCTTTTCTGGTGATAAATGTTTTATCATTATAACCTTTTTGCATATTATTTTATTCTAAGGGAAATAATAAAGTTGGTACTATTCACACAGCCTTCGGTGTGTTCCAAATTTGTGTTCCAACAAAACTGCAATATTACGTAAATTTCTATTATGTAAATGACAGTGTGGTTACATCAGGGTAAACTGTCACATATATTTTTACTATCATACATTTCTAATTATTTGAAGAGGAAACACTACGTACTTTTTGAGCCTCAAACTAACGAACATTGCAACAGTTTCGTGGAAACGATGTACTAATAAACGAAGTAAGTTTCACAGTTTAACCACCCGATGTGATCTGCCAACAACATCCGGATACCGCCCTTGAAACAAAGGCAGCAACTCGAAAAGTGCCCGACCTTCCCCGCCCTAGGCCAACCCCAAGAGCGCGCGCGGCGCGGCTCCCGCCCCTCCAGCCGGCTGGACGACAAGCGGCGCGCTGCGCTGGACACGTCGTTTTTCATTCGCTTTTACGGCCGCCGCCACCGCGCACTACACATAAACTTTATGGGATGCTGGAGCGCGGGGACACGGGTGGGCGCGTGGAGGCGCGAAGCTGGTGAGCGGGCGGGCAAGTGGCGGGCAGAGCAGCTAGCGGGGCGGGAGGGATAGGAAGGAGGGAATTGGGTGGGTGGGAAGGACGGTTGTGTAGGCGGGGTGGGGTGGAAGCGATATAGCGAGTCGTTGAGTACCAATCCTGGTCTTTGGTCAGGCAGGGTAGGGACAGATGGTGAGCAAAATGGCTTGCGGGATGCGGATGTAAGGAATCGTCCATAAATCACGTAACGCGAAAGAGGGGAGAGGGGGTTTGAGGCAGCGTTACGCTGCATTACATAGGGGTAGGGTTTTTAGTTACGTTTTACGTAACAATTTTTTACATTTTTCAACACATGCTGAAATAATTCCTTTTCTGAGTCCTGTACTAAAACATTAAAATATTAACAAATTCGCTCTTTCATCATCCAGGACGGAGTGTGCATAACTTCTGATCAACCATTTCTTGCCAAAGTTTTCTTTCTTCACTCACAACGTGCCCCAATCTTATTGTTAGGTACAGCCAGCATCGCCAAGAGATCGCCGAGAAGGCTAGCCAGACAGAGCTCAAACGTTGGGAAAGAAGCGCTGGAACAGGGACCTAGGTGGTAGCCTCAACATGCGATGCAATTCCGGCGCAAGGAACCCGAAGACGGTGTTGTAATCGATTTCGTTTGCCGCAGAACAGCGAAACGGTTGCACAGTCAAACACTGGGTATTTCATTCTTCTTTCACATTTAATCTTTAGCAATTTGACGAAAAAGTTTTATGCGTAATGAGGTTTCCGCTCTCGCTTTTATATATTTTTTTTCCTTTTTCGCGAATATCGTTAGTAAGGCATATGATATATATATATATATATATATATATATATATATATATATATATATATATATATATATAATCACATTTTTGCATATTTACATTTTCATTTATTTTGATGGTGAGTGGCGTATAAAGAATTAAGAAATAACAGTAATCATTAATTATCTCGAGTACTCAACTATAGGAAAAAGCAATTCTTGCCAATGTTAATGCATTTCGCGCCAATAACGGAAATTGGTCAATTTTTCTTCATATCTCGCTTTCAAGTCTTCGCCGCAAATTTGTTTGTCTATATTCTTTATCCTAATCAAATAATTCGATAAGATCACACCAAGTCGTTCTAATGAATATCTTGACGCTTTTTCACGATTAACTCTCGATTTTCTCCTTTCCTAATTCCTTACCTCCTCGGCTCGCTTCCCTTCAACGCCCCTCTTCTCCCCCTCCCTTCCCCTAGGCGAGCAGTAAGCTAGCACCCCCGGCTCGTAAGAGCGCTCCAGTCCGTACACGCAACTTTGAATAAGACATTCTATAGGTAACGAGAAAAGAGATCAGCGCGTATTTTATTAGAGTAATTAATACAGGATTCACAACTAAACCGAAGCACTAATACGGCACAACCACAAGTTAAAGAAATACCTACGTGATGATGAAGGCAAAGGTAAAAGAATGAAAAAGTAGGAAACAAAAATAAGAGGAAGAAGAGAAAGAAGGCAAAGCAAAGCATAGTATAGAGCAAGGAGTGTTAGAGGATTGAGAGAACGGAAAAGTTGGAAAAGAAAAATATAATACGCGCGAGCGCGTGATTGTATATGAATGTGTGTGCGTGCGTGCGAGATAAATAACGAGAAGGAGAGAGAGGGAGGGAGAGAGAGAGAGAGTAGGAGAGAGAGGGAGAAAGAGGAGAGAGAGAAAGAGAGAGGACAATGGAACGATAAGAGCAAGCAAAACAGAACAGCGAGGGTGTGAAATGAGAAAGTAAGGAGTTGACGCGCCCTTACCATTCTAGTGGAACTTTCTTTTGAGCACATTCACAACAAAAAGGAAAAACGAGAGTGAGGGTGGGGGGTGGGGGCGGTGGCAGATGTCTCAAGCCGCATGCCCCTGCCTGACAACACGGCGCCCTCTCATCAGTCCCAACTTGCACGTCGCACCCATCCTGTCGCGTCGGTGCGGTACAAGTTTAGGTCGCAAACTTCGTAACGGCCAGGCCATATGTCGCCGCAACTTGGGCGCCGGCCCAGAACATCACGCCCCTACCGATTTCTCTCATTTCTCGATGCTATGGCTGCTGAAAGAGCGAACGCCATCGAGACGGCCTTTAACAACTTTTCTTATCCGTCTTCAAGTCCCAATCATAACTTTTGGAATGTTCTGTGAACGGAATGTACTGTGAACGTAAACGATGTACCAAAAATATTGACCTTTAAGAAGGGACCAATGGGAATGGAGCTTCGAGACGTTAATAGAAGTACTTGGTTTTGGCCTTGGCTTATTCAGTGTTGTGGATTTACGAAGAAAAAGTTCAATTTCAGAAAAGTACTTGGGGATGATTACTTGGCTGTCAGAGACAATAAGGTAGTATCCAAGTTGAAGTATAAAGTTTCCCAAACTTAAATCATTGAAAACACGATTTTTTTCACTTTACAAGGATACTTTTCCAACAGTCACCAACAATAGTTCATTCTCCACAAAGGATAAATATTTATCAATTTAAACTTAAATACCATCTAATTTTATTCAACGGCATTTGAGTATTGATGAAATAAATGAGAGAGTGAGAGACAGTGAAAGAGAGCGTGAAAATGAATGATTGAGTGACAGGGTGGGTGCGAATGAGAGTGGTTTTTAATTGCACTGTTTAATGAAAAAAGTGACCAACTCATTTTTAAGTAGAAGAGATTTACTTTTCAAAATAATTCGTCTTTGAGTGAATCATGTCGATAATATTATGGTGTTAACCTTCTTCAAATTTGAAATGGTTGTAGCCTGGGGAAACTAGGGGCGAAATGGGAATTACTACCATATCCATTAATAATATTCACCAATAAGCATGAGATTGGGAAGTTAATGTCTTAACATTAGCACAGCTTAACATTAACGCGATGTGTTCTAAGGAAACCTGCCTAACTTGACAAACAGACTGCGAATATAAAAAAATTATACAATATTCCAGTTACTTTCAGCATCTGGTGTTTTGCATTTCACTTACGGAATTATCATTGCCTTTCCGTAACAAGCACTCAAAGAAAAATCATGCGACGTACTTTTCAAAAATTGTAATGCACTAATTAATCCAACATTATGTCAAGTATCTTGCTTCAGATCACTATCAGATATCTTAATATAAACGTAAATAAGGAAATGCATACGGGCGCTTGAAAACAGTGGTTCTTAAATTTCTTACTTTTAATTGGTCTGCCGGCGCCAGATGGAGTTTGTATTATTGATTTTTAAATTGTTTTTAAAGAGATGATTTTTAAATGGCTCACTGTTTTACTTTCGTAAATTATCTCAAATCGTATCGAGCATTTCCTTTCTAATTACATGAAAGAGCCATATTCGGTTTCTAACAAGGATATAACTATCGTTTATTACAAGGAGAATACTTGAATTGACATGAAAAAAATTCAGTTTCCAATTCTTATTTCCTTTTCACTTAAAAGTATCTTCGAAATAATCTTGGGTTTCAATCTTCGGCACTGCTTTGTTAGCTAAAGAACGCGTTTTAGCTTAGCACTTAAGACTTCTGGTTTCGCCTAACAGATATCAAAGAAACTCATGATTAATTTTCTGCAACGGAGGATTAATTTCATCCAGCAATTGTTTTTTTCTCCAAACTCCACTATAAATAGTTTTAAGAAATATTGGACTCATGAAATATTTAATATAGTATTATGAGAAAAATACTCTAATTAGCGTTATTTAAGTATTCTCATTTTTACATTAATTACAAGAGAGAAGTAACATTTACATAAAGTATTAAGAACACGTCAACATTGCTATGCAAAACCCGTAGGATACTGCAGAAACTACATTATTAAGGGCTGCAGTATTTTTTCACAGAGGGACTTGTCGGAGTCATGAACTATAATACAAATGTATTGCCAGCGTAGTAAACGCTCTCTCATTTCTTTAACAAGCCTCGAGACCTCGAAAATGGGCAATACAATGTTTAATACAACAATTCTGACAAAACAATTTAGTATATAAAGACATTTTCTGAAAAAATAATTCTCGCAATAATTTTGGTGCCACGTTATTTTTTGAGAGAGAAACGGTCAGTAAAATAATAACTTGAAAACTGACCGATATCTGCAGATGATGAAGAGGTGCAATCGGAAAGAAATTCAAAAGCGCAATGTATTTCAGAGGGTTTGTTCCGTGTCGCCGGGAAGTACAAGTACTTTCTCCACATTGGAGGAGCTCTTTATTCACAAATATTGTACGGGTTTGATATATTAAAATTTTCTTCCTTTTCAAACTTTATTCAAGACAAAATCCATACGTTAGAATGAACGACTTATAAGAATACATTGCATTAGAGAATAAAAATAAACAATGGAAGGAGATTTCTTAAATTCGCTAGGGTAAGCTATTGTCAACGGCAGTTCCAAGCGTTTCTTTACATGTTGCCTAATGACTGGTAATACCTTCCACTAACAAACAATATTCCTAAATTAGAGGTTTGGGGAACTCAGCTTCAATTTCATAAAACATATTACGACCCTTCAGAGTCCGATTAATTACTCAATTAGAATTTCAAATGCCATTCATGCAATAAATCAAAAAGAAATTCTATTTTATATTCAAGATTATAAGTAATAGTATATTTTCATTTTCTGCTTGATTGGTATAATCAGATTTTAATACGGTGAAAACATTATCAGCTAAAGAACACAAGTGCATTCATTGCGGAGATTTGTGGATCTGATAAAAAGCGGAGTCCCCCGAACTGGAAGAGAAATCTAGAGAGTGGCAGGTCTCAATAGTCATTTTCGCGATGTATTTTCATCGTTTCCAGGTAAAAGTCGATGAAATATACGAAATACATAAGCAAGGGATTGTAGACCCATTCTGGGTCCGCTGCCATCCATTAGTCTGATTATTCACAACTCATAATGCCTTCTCTCGATTCAAAGTATTCTTCTCCAGTACTGGGAAATCCCTTACATCACAATGACAGGAAAGCTACAAATGAGATGGTACTCTATCTACCGGAAGTTTGCTACTTACGTTCGTTTCCGACACGGATGCTTAATCATCTATGTTAAGTAAATTCTTGTCAATACTACCTTCAATTGTGAAGCAAAGAATCACGTATAAAAATTTAACATCTGATATGAAAAAATATCATAAATTTCATTTGCTAAGAGCGCAATAGAACATTTTTTCGTAACAATCATAATAAAATTTGGAAATGGTTACACGGTGTATTAAAAGCATTTTCTTGTATCTTAATATTTTTGACCCACTCTTTGCATTGTAGACAGCTGTACTACAAAAAGGAATTAAAAACAAGTTATTACCACTTATTCACTTCATTAGACTTCGTCCATGTATTAACTTTGTCATGATACATGGATGTAGTCGAATAAACTGAATATGTGTTAATAACGTGTTTTTAATTCCTTTTTGTAGTACAACTGTCTATAATGCAAAGAATGGGCCTGAGATATATAACTACAAGAATAATAATAAAATTCAGTAATTTCAGTTTCATTGATTGAACACGCAAAATAGTATGTAGCAATTGGCGTTGAACGTAAGCGGAACGGAGACCTGGAACGTGAACCCTGGGGTCCGCCGTATCGCCTGTCCGCTGATTCAAGGGGCTGGGCTGAGGCTGGGGGTGACCTTAATCTGCATTGCACTCTGAGGGCACGCCCGAGAGCTCACGTTACCCTCCTCGCCCGCTGCGGCGCGGCCGCCTCGGCGAGATCACGTCCGGGGCGACGGGCACGCAGGGCGTGGAACGTGCCATGCGAGAATGGGAGGGGGGGTGCCGAACACGCCAAGAAGAAGACAAGACAGAAAATCGGCGAGTGAAAGGATACATGGGAAACAAAGAAAGTAATGAACAAAAAAACATAAAGGAAAATATCCGAGAAGAAGAATAAAAAAAATAGACAAATTACTATTGAAAAAAGGGTTGATGGAAACGAACAAATTGAGCACATATAGGACACAAAACCGTTACAGAGAACGACACTGAAAGAACAAAGAATAAAGAAATAAAAAAAATTAACGGTAGAGTTGAGCAATGTTGTAAGGCAGGTGATACAGCCGTAGGAGACGAAGTAAGTCAGCACCAAAGACCAAACCGAGCGAGAGAAGGAGAAAAAAGGCGGCGCGGCGTGCGGGAGGAGCGCAACGTGCCGGCTCCGGCGCTGCGAGCGCTCGTGTGGTAGGGCGTGCGGTAGGGCGTGCGCCGCCGCGCGTGCCTGGCGCTCCCCCCGCCGGCCTGGGCCGCGGTGGCGCGGCGGAGCTGCTCGTCGCCTGGGCGCCTCGAGAGTCCTCGAGGGCTGCGCCGGCAGCGGCGGCGGCGGCTTGCGCCCTGCCTCGGGCGGGGCTCTCCCGGCGCCTCCCACAGGACTCGGCGCTGCTCGCAGGCTCACGCGCCGCAACCACGCGCCGCGCTTCATCAAGCACGGTGGTCACGGAATCAAGAGACAAATAATTCAGCTAAGTCACTTTTTCCTTCCCTACTTTCACCTCAGACGAATATATCTCGGCTCCCTAGCAATAAAATAAATTCTCTCTCTTCTAAGATCATTATTTTTCATTCATTTCCGGCTAATATTTCAAAACTACACATACCTTTCAGTATCTGAAAATTTTGAAATAATATTAATTTTCGCCTACTTGTACATGTAATAACATAATTTTGCGTATTTGCGTAATTCCTAAAAGTAAATTTATTCCGATGTTTACACAAAAATATTTGAAAGCTTCGTTTTTAATTAGAGGAATGCTTTTCACTGCTTTCAAATCAAATGTAATGAATTAGTTTTCACCCTTGGAGAGCAACTTATTGATAACCTTTTCCCAATTGGCGAATAAAATACATTCACGCCAATCTATCAAACAGCTCAGTACTTTTCATCAGAAATAATCATATTTACGTAGTATGAAGAAAGAATTATAATGCTGGGGTAAAAAGGCGATTTTGTTAGAGCAACTCGAGTTGTGGGGCTCTGATACTGAAAAAAGTGGACAAATCTTGCTCTAATAAGTAATAAATTACTTTCTCTAACTGATTGTGAGTCAGAATCGACATTTTATGGGTCCTTCATATCGAAAAATTGGCTCATGGCAAAGCATCGGGTAACGGTGCTACATGCACTAAACAATGTGACTAAAGCCATTTTCATGTGTTAGTTTGATTTTGACAGAAATGTATTTTTTAATGTATTTCAACTAGATTTTCTCACAAAAGGTTTCAAGAAAACAACAACCTAAATCTACTGAATAAAATATAATCACCATTGTGATGTATTTTTTTGAATTTTCAAAAAGTACGCAAAATATATTTTTTTGTCTGTCACGTCGTTAATATTTATATTACATTTTTACGTTATTCAATTTATGATTACACGAGACTTTAAATGATCTTTGATGAAGTTTCTCGAAAATTCAAAAGATTTTTGGGAAAATGAGAAAAAAGATGGGCCTTTTCTAATGTGCTCGGCAATAAATTCTCAAAAACGGTTTCCAATTTTTCAATGAAAAAGTGCATAGAGAATCAGACCTTACACTTCTATAATATTCTTAAAGTCATATTTTAATTCTATTATAAAAAAATCGAGAAACTGCGAAATACAGTCTTAGTAGTCGATAAATATCAACTGGGAAGAAAGTGGGGTAATCACGAAATGGTAGCCCGGACTAGAGATTAGGAAATTAACTAGTACAAAAAAGTCTGTGCAATTGTGTTGCCCTGTGCAAATGCCACCAGCTCATTTTCAACCAATATAGTGGACGTATGATAAAATAAAAGTTTCCGCGCAACGAGATTAAATGCTTGCCTTTATCCGAACCAATGCTTATAGGATATGATAATAAATAAAAAAGTATGTAATATCTCTCGTAAAATATCACTAGGGAAGAAAAATATTGATTCTTTGTCTCTATGATAAATCTAAAGCCTAGTAATTCATCTTTAAAACTGTTTCCAGGTCTTTTGGTGTACGTGATGAGATTTTTTCATCCCACCAAAACTCTTTTCCTTAAGAGATAAGAGATTGGCTGCAGAGCCTCCTAGTCTCACCGGCGCCAGTCCAGGGCACTCGTACACCGTGTAGTCGCCTTCTTCGTTCTCCTCCTCGCTCTCCGCCTCCGACACGGAACCATTGCGCTCCGCTGGGATCCGGCTGCAAAACGAACGAGAGAGTTAGGCCCACACAACCAGCGCGAGACACGGCATCGTTCCCTCCAACGATTCACATCACAATCACTCAAACTGTCAAGCAAGGTTTGGGATGGAAAGAACGGGAGCAAGAATAAATTGTCAGACATGAGACAATATTATAAAATCAAAGAAAATAATTGAAATTCACGAGGCATAATCACATTAATAAAGAAATTAAGACATTTTTCACTGAATGACAATACGGTTACGTACTCTTAGGCGACTGGAGAGTGAGAGGGAGATAGGGATGATGGAGACAGGAGGGGTAAACAGCAGGCCGGAGTAGAATGTAGCGTTGGGCGCGCGCATGTAGACGCATGTAGTCTCACTGCCTGTAGACGTCCGTGGCGCTTTCATCACCATTGCATTCGGAATCTTCAGGGCTTCCATAACTGTGTGCACGACGAATGAAGATGTGTTTCTTACCTTTGCATGCAACGTCGTTTAACAATGTTCTCCTAGTACACTTCAATGTTTTATTATTATCTTCTAATTAAAAACTAAGCAAGAAAATCCCTTAATGGGCTACCACAGTATTAGTTTCTACTTTAAATATACGTTTGAAACGTAAGTTACTTCAGCATACTACCCTGTACTCAGATCAATGCGGACAGCAAGTACCAACATTTTGCACTGATAAACCGTCAACGTTTGTTATCGAAACATACTACTCCGAAAGAGACTGAGTATTTTAGTCATGACTGAATAGTGGGTAACAGTTACCAGGCAATTGCTGCTAAGCGCCTGGAAGAAACTGAAATAACTTCCATTCCAATGCAATATTCTATCAAAAAGCGTAATTATAGATTACCAAAGCAAGTGCATATTTTGAACTCTGCTGTCTATACCGTATTACGACCAAAATCTAAAAAATTACGTCACACATTTCCTTCCTGTATCCTTATGAAGCGGAACATGGAATTTCTACATGTAAAATCAATAACGCTGTCCAATAACCGTAGAAGGTCTCGAACACGCCAACACTGGATGGGCACATCACCTGCCCTCGAGCTGCCAAGTGACGGCGGAGAGAGCTCGGCCGTTGGGGATGGCGTAAAGCGCAGCGAAGCGGCTGCGGCCCGACCGAGATTAAATTGGCTTAATGCGGCGTGCCAGCTAAAATTCTGAGCGGACGCTGCCGCTTTGTAAACAAGTAATTTCATCCGGCGCTCGCGAAACCCACACCTGAGAGCGCGCGATCAATGCATTATGGGCCGTAATTGAAATATCAATCGCCGACCCTCCGTATTAAAAAACACCCGTCGCCGGTCCCGCTACTGGAATTTCGCCGGCACCGGCCGACGCGACGGCCAGCGCTGAACCGAAACGCGAAGCAAATAAAGTGGCGCCCGAACAACGCAAATGAAGGCAAAGCGGGTTGGCGGAAGCGGAGGGCGACAGGGGGCGACGGGGGGGGGGAGGAGGGCAGCGGCGTGCGTTGGCGCAGAGTGCAGTCTTGCGCCAGCCAACTGCGGATCGCTGCCGCAAAGAGGCGGAGGGAGGGCACGGGCGCCATGCCGCCTATGAGTAACGGGTGTACGCACTGCGGTTCGGTTCGGTTCGGTTCGGCGGCAAGGAGAAATGGGCGAGGGGGAGGCTGGGACATATTCCGGGCAAAATACGAGGGGGTTCGCACCGGGTGGTAGTGTGTTCTGCAGGCAAAGCAGACAGTAGTGGCAATGGAGAAATGAAAGGAAGGGGGAGGTCGACGGTAGCGTTGGAGATGCACGAGGCGAAAACGATGAGAGAAGGGATTAGAAAGTGGGCTACAAAATATAGTACACAGTCTATCTTTAACTCCTTTTTCTAGTTTCCCAAAATTAAAAACGTGCAAGCAAAGTTGGTACAAGTACGTGGCTTTAAAAAAAGAAAAAAAGATTAAATATTTTTAGTGTTTTTAGTTTAAAACTGGAAGATGAAAAACGGAAGAGTCATTTTTTGTCAAGGCACAAGGTTATTACACAATCACTTATTAGTGAAGCATATCGGAAGTACACGTTGAAGTTTCCACTAATGTTCGTTGAGGTCAGAAAATAACCCCACATCATATTTCACTTCCCCCAACCCACATTCAGAACTTCCATAAATGCACGTACATAAGTTACCATGGAACTTATGCATAGATCGTCCCCCAAAACAAATATTATCGGCTATCTTGAAGGACATGAAAGAAAAAGGTTAAAACAGTTGCAGAAAGCGAAGGAAGGCACGGGAGATGAAGGGCAAGACTTAAGCAGCAATGATTCCTAGCGTATGGGGGGCGCAGGGGCAGCGGTTTGGCACGGGCCGCGGCGGACGCCGCCACGAGGCGGATGTGGCGACGGCGCTGGGGCGGGAGCGGGATCTCACTTAGCACATCTGCACATCGTTTGAATAGTGTCGCAGTAGACGCAAGAGCATGATAGAATTAAACATTTAATATCAAAATATTTCACTATTTTTTAACTGACTTGTAACTTGGTTAAAAATATTTGTTGCATCTTCACGTAAGAAGTTCTCAGTCTATTAATGTATTAATCCACCCCTGTTTAATAGAGATCATTTGATTGTGTGCTTTTTGGACCATTTTTTATATTTCTCAATATTTTCTTATAAAATGAATCTAATATATATTAATATTATACCATTTAAAATAGTTAATTCTGAATTAATCATAAAAATAAGTTTTTGTATCTGAGAGTTCTGAAAAGGTTTTCAATACGTTGAAAGATACATTTTGAAAGATATGTTGAAAGAAATGTACAACAACTGATATATGTAAATTAGAGACAGCACGTATGAAAGATTTGATGTAATTTTAACTTCTGGTCCTCTGAAACACAGGTGCAATATATCTGACATGGCAAACACCAACCACGAATCGATTTTTTAACATGAATCTATGAAAATACGTGGTTAAAATCTGCAAGCATATAGTAGGTTCACGCATCCCACGGACAGAGTCCATATGGATCTTTTCTGCCCGAGTGCTGGCGCCGCGTTTTCCCCAGCGGCGGCGCCGAGAACGCGGTGTCGGTTCGCGGGCAACCGAGCGGTGGGTCGCCCGCGGAAATATAAACCCGAGCGTGCCTCATGGAATGCACGGCCAGGAGGACGTCCTCGGAGCTGGGCTCGCGCTGCTCGAGGTCGGCGAGGTGGCTGAGGAGCTGGTCGTGCTGGATGCGGCGGCTGGGGCCCGGGGGGTGCTCTTGCGGAGGGTTGTTGAAGTAAAAGTCGACGTAGGCGACGCGGCGCGACGCGGACGCCGACCGCGCCGAGTGCGGCCGCGACGGGCCGGCGCCCGCGGAGGCGGAGGCGACGGAGACGTCGCCGTCGTCGTCGTCGTCCAAAGAGGGCGCTCTGCCCTCCATCAGCGGCCGCCGTGGCACGTGCGTCACCGCCATCACGGCGGGAGCTCTGCCGCCGACAAACGGACCTCTCAGTGGAGCTACCTCGCACAAATTGAATCGACTCGCGGATATTCCTTGGAAACAGTTAGTACACGTAAAGGATGCGCTGTTTCCCTGCAGTTTTTAGGGAATATCCGAGAGATATGTTGGTACTATATATGAATTATCTCAATTTCACTTTTCTATGTTATTACTTCAATTAAATTATACTTGTCTACGTTAATTAAAATGAACATAAACGCTCTGAACTATTTATATGCTGGATCAACGAAAGCAGCTATTTATTTGGTCAAATGTATTATTTCTTTTAAACTGAAGTGGTGTTTCAATGCATTCGAATTTTATATATTTTATGCTAATTCACCTTGTATTATAAATTTTAAGTACTTGTACTTCTAAAAAAAAGTTACCCAACGGAAAGGAAACCCATTAATCACTTATGTTCCTTTCCTTCGCCTTCCCATAAACTTTAATTTATTGACATGAGCTATTTAAGACGTAAATCATTAAAAAGAAAACTTAAATTTAGCACTGAGGTACAGAAACACTAAAGCTGCTCACCTCTGTACTCGCAACATTACCTTTGTCATTTCAATGGGTATGCATCCACACAGAACGAGTTTTCAGTCAGTAGGTATTTGAATTAATTTTTTTGTTAAAAGAGGGTATATGATTAACAGTAGTTTAAACTTTTCGCCGTCCACCCCATGCTGGATGTCATGAAGTTTGAGCTGGTTGGCAGATCTATTTATTCTTCGAAAAATTTCAATACAGTGTACTCCCGAAAGTTATTCCATGGCGCGCAATTTGGGAAAATAAACAAGCTGGTAAAATAATTGTGTGGAGTTGCAAAATGGCAAAATGAGTGTTGAAAATTCTAGCATGTCTTTAAAAAACCAATTGGTTTTCGCAATACATTCAAATAATACTAAGACTCATTAACAATGAAATCGGAGGAATAGAAACAATATTGTAATTGAATACGAGGGTAGAATACTTTGATTGAAATATATGATTTATTATCGCTGATAAAAGTATCATCACTGGTTGAAATACTTCACTCACGTTAACGAACTCCCTAGTGAACAAAGTGAAACATCCAGTACAATACCACCACCAATCATAGTAGCAGACATTATCAATTATAATACATTCATCAAAGAATTTAAATCTAAAGTTACCACAAATTTCATTGCAGATCAAAAAAATAATAAAATTCAAATACGGGCGAACTCACCTAAGGATTTTCGAATCCTAATCCTAATTCACACTTGTCGAAATTTTCATTCCTTCAAAGACCCTTTGAATAAAAATGTCTTTGTAATGTTCAAGAACGTCGACCAATCCATTTCTGATCAAGAAATATATCAAGACTTAAAACAACGCTTACTATCACTGATAAAAATCACCAGACTTCACAAAGAAAACAAACCTATTCCAGTACTTGCAGCTGTATTTACAGAACAAGGCCCAAAAGACAATATTTTAGCCATTAAGCAAATTTGTAACCACAGAGTAAAAACAGAAGCAAGGAAAAACATCAATGTCCCTTACAATGCCAGCGGTGCCTGGA